GATTAAATTTTGAAGCCTGATGTAGCCTTTATCCTTACAGGTTTTCCTGCTTTCAGAGCAACAATCCTTTAAATTTTCTTGTTTACACTCTTGTGTTACCTAAAAATCTATCCCCTGTGAGGCAACATGCTTTTTACTCTCATTAGATGCTCAGAACTAAGAGCTCCAACGTTAAGTAACTTAACCAAGGTCACACAGACTGAACTTGCGGAATTGTCTTGCATGTGTTTTCTCTTGTCTGTAATGCCATAGAACGGGTTGGGTTGGAAGGAACCTTAAAGATTATCTACTTCCAACTCCTCTGCCATCCTTCCTTTCCTAGTAAGTGTTTCCTAGCAAGATGCAGAAGCCTGTAGGTAACTCCCATGGGACTGTTCCATGCGCATCAGTGGCTCCTAGGAAAGAAGTTGAAAAGCTGCATTGGACTGGAATCAGTAAGCCTCCCAGGCTGGTTTCAGTTCTCTTGGCACATGGCATTGCACTGTGGCATCAAAAACAATTCCCCTCCACCCCTTTGGCACAGGTCGGGTTTTCCTGGGATATCCCATTTGTGTGACTGAGGCCTCCCTAACTCTTTGGGGAATTAAGCTAACGAAATAAGTGACAGAGTCTGTCTTCCCAGAGTAGTGTTTCCAAATCAACTAGCAGATGTGAAGATAACTTCTTGTGCCAGACAAATAAAGAATTCAGGAATATGTTCCAACAGGAATATGTTCCTGTTGGTTATTGCTCAGGGATAGACACTTTCAGATTTGATCTCAACTTAAATGACACATACCATTGTTCAAAAAAAAAGCTCAAAATGAAGATTTTGGCTTTCAGCTATGAGTTCAACCAAAGCTCCTGCACAGAGCATACGCAGATACAAGTTAGCAGTTTTTTGTTTGTTTGTTGTCCATAGGGTATTTGTACTTTTAGTAATGTGCTTTTACTTGAACTGGGCATTGTCTCAGTGCTTTTCATCTTCTTTTTTCTTCTATTTTCAAGAACAGACCTTACCATCCACTAAGATGCAAATTAATTTATTTCAAAATAAAAAGATATCTGAACTACCAGTTATTTACCTAAGTAGTGAAAGACCCTTTGGAAATCCATGTTTTTGCTCATGTGTTTTCTTATGTATATTTTAAAATACACTAAGCTCTTTCTTTATAAATAAATAAATAAATAAAATATTTTCCTGAAAACTACTGAAATACGTGTTCTGCATCACACAAAATTCAATCATTTTCTTATCATTCCAAATACTGGTTTTGGTTTTCTTTTCCAAGACAGTTCATTTGTAGTGCTGGGGTTTTTGAACATAAAGAATCTATAGGCAATAACATCACAGGCCTCACCAGCCTGTAGATAAGTGGGTAGCAAAAACATGGTGAGGCTTGTGCTTCATTTCAGCAGCTGCCAGAATTCTTCACTGCTCATGATTTATTTATTTATTTTTAATTATTGTCATTCATTGTATGAAGGTGCTCTTCTGTAGAGAGTGCTTACCATCTTCCCTACAGAACGGAGTTTAACATTCTTTGAAAGAGACTTCAGAAAGAGTTTATTTGAGCGTAAGAGGCCAACTTGTCCTATCATATCTAGCAAGCTGATGTTCAGCATGTTTCCCAATGGTGTGACAACTTGAAGGCTTAGAAAAGACAGCCTTTAGGGCAGTTTGTCTAACTGCGGTAACAGCAGCAGTTAAGGCAGTTATCTAAAAGCTCTGTCTTTAAATATTTCACAGAGGTTATTATTTTGCCATCATTGCTATTATTCCAGAGATCATCATTTCGTTATAACAGAGGTTCACATCAGCAAATCTGAAAGAAGATACTTCCAGCAGTTCTGATCCTGGCAAGTCATAAATGGATGTTTCATTTCAAAGCTGGTGAGACACCAGTCAAACTTCATGTGAGAGAATATTGAGGGGGCAACAGAAAAAGGACCTTTTGCAGCACCTTTTGATCAGCTGCCTCTGAAAAGAAATGTTGTTACAAGTACTACTGAAAACAATGTGTCCTAGAAGTGGTCATCAGCAACTCCTAGCACAGCAAATTATGTCAGAAGTAATACAGACAGTGTAGTAGGTATTAGCTACAAAAACTGTCTGAGAACAGTTTAAACAAGCTGTAACAACAACAGCAGATAAAGCTACTACACCTAAATGGGAAAGAGGTGCTGAATGAAATCCTGAGGACATTGGGGTCAGATGCAAATATATTACTGTCTCTAAAGGAAAGCAGATTTATTTCAGTTTTAAAATTTGCATAACTGTTATATAAATTTGACATAACTAACTGGATTGGCAATTCAAGGCTGATTATTGGGGTGAGGAAAAGAACTTGAACTGTAGTATCCTACTTGTAACACAGCTGCACAGAAGACAGAAGCTGCATCATCTGTGTCTGATGCAGTCATTGCTCCTCTTGGGGGTACAGCACTGCTCCCCTGGAAGTGGCTGAAATAGTGGACAAACACTTGTCAAAATCTGGGCTTGTCTAACAAAATCTGGGCTTGTCTAAATGGTACCTGTGAACAAGGCTGATGCAGAGCACTTGAAGGTCAGGATAAGTCCTTTTCCTCCATAGTCAAAGTTGTTCCAAGCATACTGAATGTAACTTGGAAAGAATTCCTCCTTCTGAAGGAACTGGAGGTGTACACTTCTGCTAGTAAAGCTCTCAAAGAAGTCAGTGAGTTTCTAGGTATGATGTTGTGAAGTGTGTAAATTTTGAACCTAGGCATTGAGTCTTTTCTTGCAGGCTCTTCTATTGATGCACATTTCATAACTGAATGGGTTCAGTGTCACAATTCAGTGTCATTGGATTTGGTAAAAGAGTTGGTGTGTAAAAGTCCAATTTTGAACAAGGGAAGGCTGTAGCTGTGCATGCATAATGGTTTGAAAGTCCAAGCCTGCATTGTATGTGCAGTCTACTCTGACAGCAAGTGTTATTGTTCACTGAGTAATTAGTCAGCCTTATACCTTGCATGTACTACTTATTCTTTTTAATGTTATAGTTACTATTAAATGTACTCCTGATCAGTATTTTTTGATGCCCTGCTAATATAGCACTAGTATATTCAATTTAAATTATAAATGTATTTCTTTTTATTTTTCTCCTGTAATATCACCTGGTGTGCCACAAAGTGGGGGGGAGAGAAGAGAAAAGCTGTGATAGCTTATATTTTCTACTACTTTGTATTGTACGGTGTTTAAAAAGTATTCCAAAAAGGACAAAAAAAAAGGCGTTGCAATGAAAACATGCTCCTCTATATTTATATGTTTGAATTTCTATTGAAATAAGTGCATCAAGAGGGAAGATTAAGGGTCTTAATTTTTAATATATTTTCCAATGGGAAAAATACTTCTCTTCAGATTTTCTGAAGTTATTGTAATATCTTCAGACACTGCATTAAATTTCAGATTTTTCCCATTGTTATAAGCTCTGCTAATGAAAATGTCCATTAAAGTGCCACGAATATTTTAAATACATATTCATGCTGTGCTTGGAATCTTGCACATCATTTTCTAAGCTAAGCCATTAGCATCGAGATAGATACTGTTATTTTGCAAGTCTTCACTTCAGCAATTTGTACATGTCAAATTTAACCACTGCACAATACCTATATAGAGTAATAAAAACATTTGAGTTTAGTGCTGTCTGTACACACAGCTCTCACTATCTCTTTTGATGGTTGATAATAATCATGCTGCTAGATGTTTTTCACTGTATAATGCAGAACACAGGTCACTGTTGGTAAACCTATTCTAATCATGGCTTCTCAGAACACAAATCCATTAACCTGTGGCGATAACCCTGCTGCAGAGATTTGACACAAACAATGCTGCACTATAAATGATAGAGTTCATGACTGAACTGCATTTGAAAGAGCATTCTGAATAAAGTTAAGAAAGTAATGTAGAAGAAAAGTTAATGAAATTTAAGATGTCATCTTCTGTCTGTGTACAACTGCTCACTGAGGTTTCTGCTCAGAGGAAGGCTAATTCCAAATAGGATATTGCACTGATGTATGCATAGCCTAATTCAATCCATGTAGAGTTTTTTGTTGTTGTTTCGGTTGTTTGTTTTTTAAAGGTGCTTAGCAAATACTTCTTCTGGTTGCTTTGGAGTTGCTCAGTCTTGAAGAAGTGAAGAACTTCTATCATCAAGAGCTATAGAATAGTCCTGGCATGATAGATGATGGTGGTGGTAAAGCTGACATTATCGTAACACATCGTCATCACTTTTGATGAAACATTTCACAGCAAACATCAGCTAGCTGAGGTGAAAATCTGCATCTCTTCTTGTGTGACACCACTTCTTGGAATATCTATTGTTTGCTTGTCTTTTTCCTCTTAGCTGTAGCATATAGGGCTATAGAGATATTCTTTCTCTAATATGGCTTCTTGGAAGCAGGGGAAATTACTTTTTTTTTTTTTTTTTTTTTTTCTTCCCCTTTAGTCAGGTCTCCTGAAACCTGAGGGTGGTTTCCCTGACATACCTTCTTAGACCTGTAACGTTAGATCTCTTGCTATGCATAGGATCATCTCTGGAGCTGTGCTGAGATCTTTAACACCTTAACACTTGAGATCCTTAACACCACCCTCCTCCCCCCCAAGCTCCTTGAAAACTGCCTCAGGCCTCTCTTTTTTATTGTGTAGTGTTTTCTCACTTTAGACCTTGGCAAAACTCTTGTTTTAATCTTGTTGGAATCAGGTTTCATTCACAAACTGAATTTTGTATAACACTAAAAAGTCTTTGTCATATTGTATCTGGAAATTCAGTTTAGGGCAGTTTGTTTCATTATTAACTTAGGTATTAATCTTATGGGAGAAGTCAGCTCAGACAAACTGAAGTGGTAGATGATGGACATGTGGCCTATTTTGAGGACCACTGGATCCAAAAGCTGATCTTTAGAGGATGCTTTATGTTGAGAATAAACTGTCTGCTGCAGCTGTAGACTGACCCACACCTGAAAACCACTTGTGAGGTTTTTTATTCTCTCTGTCATCGCAGAGACATTCATTCATTCTTGAGAAGAATCCCTTTGTATGAAGAAAATGGCCAAGGCCTGTGTTGTCAGCAGTGAAGAAAACATGACACACTTTGAACTTGGAATCAGTGCAGAGGGCCTGAAATCTTCAGCATCTCAGACAAGCAAGTAAGAGAGAACCCATTTTGTTCACTTCCAGAAAGACTCAGATACCAATGCAGATAATACTACTACAGCAAGATGCTGGATTGGCTCAGGTGAAACCTACTGCCACGGATGGCTTTCTTGTGAATCGCTCATTGTCTTGTAAAAGCCTGATGAAAATGTTGCCAGTGATTGTTATGTGATTGCTTTAATGCAGATGTGAGAACATATAATTATACGATTACAAAGAGAATTGGATCAACATTTAAGCTCATAGACCATCATTTATTGTGTTGTGCAGGAAAGCGCACCATGTTATTAGTTAATACTTCCTTACTACATGTAACAGTTGCTGTAGTCAAGAAATTATTCATCTATACCAGATCTTGATCTTAAATTTTATGTCATGTTAATAAATTTTCTTGTCCGTGCTTTCAGAAATGTACTCAGTATTTCAGCACAGTCTTTGATATTGCAGAGATCTGTAAAGTAATGACAGAAAATAAGATGTGTTCTTTGTTTTCCCTTGAAGTCAGTTGCAATCTGAATGCATTTAAACAGAAAAGTAAAAATTTTAGTGCAATAAATTTAGTCTAGCACAATGGAAATATCCATTCATGAAAGGACTGTTTGGTTTGCATAGAAGTCATCTCTGTTCATTTTCTGGTGATCACAGTGAAATCCATCTTACCTCTATCTATCATACTTTCATGTTTTCTGTTTGACTCTGCAGTCTTTACTTGCATTCAGTGATGTTTTCCTGGATGAGTAAGTCCCTGGTGTGCTTAGCAGCTGTATGGAACCACTCATGTAAGACCTGATCAACATGAAAAAGGGTTGAAGAACTTAATGCCTAAAAGGAATCTATGTGGGTGTATTTTAATTGCTACATTACCATGACAGTCTGCACTATTTATAATTCTAAAGACTTCTTTAAAAAAGAAAGATAAGAGGCTTGTGTGCTATAGAAAAACATAGTTAATACATCAGATGTTTGTCAGATAAGCATTGTAGATCTACCCTAACTAAGGTATTGCAACTGCATGAATGCTTGAGATGGTTTTAATGTCAAAAGCTTAACGCTTTTTGGTGCCTTCAGCCTTTCTGATTTCCCTAAGTGATCATAAAGTTATAAACAGTCTTTCTAGGAGGTCTCTAAGAATCCTGTTAGGAGCTTTTTATTATACTGGCAAATTCATATTGAATTGGTATTCATTTTCACTATTACAGAATAATCAAATCAGTGCTGCTATTATTGTACTGTTGAAAAAGAAAATAATGGGAATGTAATGTAAAACTGCTAATGTGATGAAATGCTCTTATTATGGTAGGTTAAGAATGCTATGGCTGCTTGTTCCAGCTTGCTTCAAACAGTGATTGAGTGAGGAAATGGAGGGTGTTTCATTTGTGGCAAGAGGTTATGTACAGGCTCATTTGAATGTGTAATTGTCTTTCGATGGCCAAAAGAGTGATTTGCTTTTGCCTATTTGTGGTTTCTTCTAGGCTGTGCATTGGTTTTGGACTTCTAAGAACACTACTGTGCATACTGTCGCATGTACAGTCCTGTGATTTCTTTTTTTAAATCATGACTAACATCTGATGGTTCTCTCTCCAGAAAAAAAATGGCTCTCATACTCTTTCATGTTCATCTGAGCCTTTTTTCCAAAAGGGAACGGAGCTTTTAGAGTACATTGTTAGAAAGTACAACCAGCCCCCTGAAGGTTCAAATTTGACAGGGATGTTAGGAGGCAGGTCAAGTGACTGCCTAATGAAGATGAATGGAGAAAATTGCTGGTACAAGAATCACGTGGTGGGCACTTAGCCCAGGTTGCTGAAAGTGTGATGGAATCTCACAGCTTCATTTATCAGTGTCATATTTGGGCTAAAAGTGAGCAGTATTGTTCTCATTTCTTCCAGATGGATAGGTCAACTTTAATATTTATTGCTCTTGTAGAACATTTGTTTGATGTATTTCCATTAGCTAGGCAATAATAGAAAAGCAGTGGAGAGAAACATAAAGCAGCTCCCTTCCTCTTCAGCTGAAATATGGCGTACAGTAACGTGTAAATATTTCTAAGACTGTCACTGATTTTTTTCCTTTTTTAATTTGATGACACGATCACATATATTAAAAGAGTTTTGTAGAAATAATGGGAAACATCATCAAGGAAATATAAAATATTTGGCTTCTGGTGTGTAATTTTTAATCTTTTCATAAGCTTGTTGTGCCTTTCAGGAGTGGCTTTTGCATAAGAATGTCAACTTTTACTGTGATACACTATGACACAGTAACACTGTATTTGAATGACTGTTAAAGGAAGAGAAGCACATTTTAGCAAAATCAACATACTGTTCTGGATTGCTTAAGTGGAATATAATGATGGTTGTTTCTGTCATCTTTTTTTTCCTTCAGTTCTGTTGTTGCCAATTACTTTTACTATGATGGGAAAAGACAAGTTGATGTGGTTTGATGTTAAAACTTAAAATAAATAAGGGACCTAGCCATTACAGAATGGTGGCTTTGAGCTAATAGTGGTAACCTCTGGTTAATGTTTATTAACTGATTTTTCCCATTTATAGGAATCAGATTTAAGGTGTTTGACATGTATTATTTTATACTGTGGAAGGAAATTTAGCTGTTTGTGAAGCAGGTGTTGTGTTAAGTGCAGTGCAAACATCCTAGCCATATGTTTCTATAATTTAAATTAATTTGGTACAGTCATACTGTTAATCTTTAGTGACTTGTTGATTGGCATTTTGCAGACATATTTCTGGAAGGCACCCAATACCATTTTCTGTAGCCTTTCTGGCAGTAGCAGAGAGTAACATTTCCACAAATTGGAATCTTGTACAGCTCTGGGAAGTGAGCCAAGATTTAAATTAGACAATAACCTCTGCTCTGTATATAGCTTCTATTCTTCAGCTGTAGGGAAAGTGATTTGTTTAATACAGTCAGCTCTGTAGCATATAATAGACTGATATATGAGTCACTCCTTGGCAATGTGTGTTTCTTAAATTTATATAGATTGAACAACTAGTTGGTAATGTACTTAGTTACAGTTGTGCAAACAATAACTATTAGCAGAGCTGAGCAGACCTAAAAAAAAAAAAAAACAACAACCTGCATTTGGTTGGTGTTTGTTAAGGATTCTGCAGAGTTTTAGAACAATACTTCTCTTCAGGTGCAGAAGAAAATTTTGTAAACATGACTACTCTTAGAGTCTTAGAAAATCAATAATAGCACTTTCATATCATAGCTTAATATTTATTATTCTTTGCACATGGACGTACATGAAGGTACACAATGTTTCTTAAAAATTAACCTTAGCATCAATCTGTGTTGTAGCTACACAATTAAGTTGCAGCTCTTTTTGTTTTGCCCTTGTATATTTTTTTTCTCTCTTCATGTTAAAATGTGTTGCTGTCAATTGATATCTGTGAACGTGAAGAATGCTTTTCTTTCCAAACTGCAAAGATCTTTTCTTAAAAGGGAGCTCTTTACACCATTTGGTTCATGTTTATTTAAAAGCTTAAAATCATTAGACCAAATCTCACTTTTTGTCCAACAGAAAATTGATTTTGCTAGCAAAAATGGTGTGGGCCTGAAAGAGAATATTCAGAAATATGCAAATAAGCAGAGATAGAAATCTGTTTGAGCAGCTGAACAAAGCAATCAAATTTTTTCCATTGAAAGTTTATTTAGCTTCACCGTGAACATTTTTGAACAGAATTATCAACTGCTGTTAGTGAAATACTTCTTTTTATAGGGAAAAGGGGATTCTTTTTAAACAGAACTATTTTAATACTCAACTTTTTTACTTTTTTTTTTTTTTTTTGGCCAGGTCTTATATTTACAAAATAAAGCACACTGTAAATATTGAACAATACACAGATATATTTCCTAACAGTTTCTAGTACGCTGCATATTCTGGATGAGTTCCAAGCAGTAGTTAGTATAAATGATATGCCAATCAAAATTATTTTTGCAACTATAACCTGTTATAATGCAGTCTCTTATCTGAAGCGTCAACTTGATATAAGCCAGATCTCTTTTCTTAAGCTTTAACTCTTACGTGTATAATTTTCCTTGTCCTGAACTAATCCTGCTTCTGTTCCATAAGCTTCTCGGTAGTGCATGATAGCAAAGGATAATTTATCTACTTGTTACATAAATTTTAATCATTGCTGCTTCCATTAGGCCATATGCGTTTTATTCCTTAGTAGGAGTGAATAGTGTATAGAATATCTGATATATTCTAATGAGTGAATAAGTTTTGTAATTTTCCAGCATCTTCCTTCAAGGCAAGTTTTCTCATAATTCAGCTTCTGTATAGAAGCTGACTTTTTCAAAAAACCTCCATGTAGTCAGCAAGTTGGTTACTAAAAATTTGACCATTTGCATCGGTAAGTAAACATGTGGTTTCATGATACAAAAGATTTGTCTTTATAGCTCGCCTAAGCTAAGGAGTTTGTTCCTCAGCTCTTTATTCATGCTGTATGTTAAATCACATTTACCCCCAAATCCCAATGAGTTCAGTGTTTCATTTTGCAGTGTGACCTCAGCAAAAGTTGTAATGGCATAAGCAAGGGTTTATGAATTACAGAGAGAACAGAAAATGCACAGGAGGTTTGAAGCACGATGCAAGATGTGAACCTCTTGGAACCTGGGTTCACTTAACAACATGGTAGCAGGTTCCAGCGCTGACATTGTAGTCACTAGAATGTCCTTTAGTCTGGTCATCATTGCTGCTGATAGCTGAAATCAAACCTCACATATAACCAGTTTTTGGAAGGTGGAGATAGGTTGTAAATCTCATTCACTGTTGTTGATGCTGAGTTTAAATGTTGAAGGTTGTTTAGATGACTTGGGAACTTCTGGTGTGAGAGGGGTGTGTGAAAATGCCAGTTTTTAAGATCCTGATAATAAAAGTATCCATTAATGAGGCTGAAGTACCGTGAGATTCACAAACTGAATACCATTCTATATGTCTGAAGAAGACACGTTATGGAGCCAGCAACATGGG